CCGCAGAGAAGCCTCGTGTTTCGCAGGGCAAAGGGCGCGGGGCCCCCGCCCCTCCCGCAAGGGAGGACGGCTCGCCGGGCGCCTCCGGCCTCGCGGCCACCCTGTTCGCCGTGGCGGACGTCCTCGGGCGGCGCCGCATCTCCCTTCAAGGCCGACCCGCCGCCGCGCGGCGGCGCGGCGTCGGCGGCGAGCTCTTCCTCCTCTTTGGTCGGGCTGTGCGAGCCTCTTGGTCGGGCGGCCAGCTCCTTGGTTGGTCTGTGCGAGCCGGGCGAGCACGGGGTGGGCGGCCGTCTCGTCGAGGCGTACGACACCTGCCCGAGCCGGCTCGGACCCTTCTCGGAACTGTCTCGCCAGGTGGGCTTCCGTTTCGTCAAGGCGTGGCTCCCCGAAAAGGAGAGTAGTCGCCCCGCCCCGCCTCTGCTGTCGCCGCGCCGGGCGGCCGTGAGCGGCGCCTCTTCACACACCCGCCGCTGGTGTGAACAGGACACGTTTCTGCTCTGCCACGTCGACGGCTTCAAGCACTCTCTGGAGGAGGTGTCGCGGGGGAGACGGCCGAGAGACGGCCGAGATGCAGCCGAGATGCGACCGAGGTGCGGCCGAGGTGCGGCCGAGAGACGGCCGAGAGACGGCGCGGTCTGGTGCAGGTGTCTCGGGAGCGGGCGGCGCGCATCTACCTGCGCCACTACGCGGGACTCGCGGAAGACGCCGTGCCACTTCTCCCGGCGGCGGAGGCGGAGGGGGCGGAGGGGGCGGGGCTGGCGGCAAGGGGGTGGGAGTCGCTGGGCGAGTGGCGGGGGGCGGCCCTCAACCGGCACAACAGCGAGGGGAATGTGCTGAACCGCTCCTCGGAAGGCTCGAGAGGACCCGAGAGGACCCGAGAGGACCCGAGAGGACCCGAGAGGACCCGCCATCACAGCGAGGGGAATGTGCCGACCCGCGCCTCGGACGGCTTGCAGCGGCGGTGTCTGTCTGTGGGGGGGGAATCGCAGGCTCGCAATCTCGCCCCCCCGATCTCCCCCCCTCCCCCCCCCCACTCTCTCCCTCGCAGGCTGCAGCTCGGACCAGAGCCTGCGCAGCAGCTCTCGCTTGACGCACGTCTCTTACCACTCGATCGGCGACGTGGGCTGCAGCGAGATGGAGGCCGGCACTACCCCGAGAACACCCGAGATTTCCCGAGACTACCCGAGATTTCCCGAGACTCCCCGAGATTTCCCGAGATTCCCCGAGCATGGAGGCCGAGCATGAGCCCCTCCCCTCGGCACGGCGCCGCGCGCCAAGTGCCTTCCTTTCCTCCACCCGTCCTTTTGCGCCGCCCAGGAGGCGGCGGAGTTCCGCGACTCTCTCGTGTACCTCATCTTCTCGGCGATGGACTCGGACGCCAACGGGCGCATCTCGATGCACGAGCTGCGCCGCGCGCTGCAGCAGACGCCGGAGATCTGCAAGCTCCTTGCAGGGACGGGGCAGCCGGCGCCGTCGCCCGAGCAGGCACCCTCCGCCAGTCTCGGCCGCACCTCGGCCGCACCTCGGTTGCACCTCGGCCGCACCTCGGCCGCACCTCCTCGGCTCCACCTCGGCCGCACCTCGGCTGCACCTCGGCTGCACCTCCTCGGCTGCACCTCGGCCGCACTTCGGCTGCACCTCGGCTGCCCCTCCTCGGCTGCACCTCGGCTGCACCTCGGCCGCACCTCGGCCGCACCTCGGCTGCACCTCGGCCGCACCTCGGCCGCACCTCGGCTGCACCTCGGCCGCACTTCGGCTGCACCTCGGCTGCACCTCCTCGGCTGCACCTCGGCTGCACCTCGGCCGCACCTCGGCCGCACCTCGGCTGCACCTCGGCCGCACCTCGGCCGCACCTCGGCCGCACCTCCTCGGCTCCACCTCGGCCGCACCTCGGCTGCCCCTCCTCGGCTGCACCTCGGCTGCACTTCGGCTCAACTTTGGCTAAACCTCGGCTGTCTCTCTCCGAGCAGCTGCTGCGCGCGATCGACGGCGACGAGTCTGCTGACATCTCGCGCGACGAGCTCACGGAGTACCTCTCGACGCTGGACAAGATCGACTGCATGTCGTGCTACTTCAAGGGCGACCCAAAGACGTGCTACTTCGACGGCGGCGAGACCCGCCGCGAGGCGATGGCCGCGCTCAGACGCACGCAGACGGTGGACTGCCGTCCTCCGCTCCCTCCCTGCCCTCCCTGCCTCCCTCCCTGCCTCTGTGTGTGTGTGTGTGTGTGCGTGTATGAGTGTGTGTGTGTGTGTGTGAGTGTGTGATGTGTATATGTGCGAGTACGTGTGTGTGAGTGAGCGTCTCTCTCCGTCCCGGCCTCCGAATACCGCTAGTGTCCAGTCCAGACTCG